CCTGTCTAAGCATAGTAGATTTAGGGTTCCTTTTTATGAGAAATGAAAGCATTTCCACTGAAGAAGTTCAAAATTTCAAATATTATAAGATTCATAATTCATGAAACTGAATAGGGTAGGTGGTAAGATGACCCTGATAGGAGACTATTTTCCCATGACAAGTTTCAGTAATTTGTTCATGGAGTATGAAATTACTGAATTTGCCTCATAACAGGTGTACACTGTGGCGCAAACGATGTGACCCTAACCATGAGGGCCACACAGAATTGCTAACACTGAATGCCTAACTCTGGTGCAACAACAAGCAATAAGATGGACTTTAGAGATTGAAGTCATTTGTCAAACACCACACCCCTGGACAAACAGCAAAATTTGGGTTGAAGTCCAAGTAGACTTCACAGAACCGAGCATTTTAGCTCCTCTATATTATTGCAATTTGAACTTATTCCAGAAACCAAAGCTCTAAGCCAAGGATACAATCACACAAGAGATATTCCAACAATGAGACTCCTCAAGGCTCTCTTCATTTCCTTGTTCCTCAAACTGTAGATAAGAGGGTTCAGTGTTGGAGGGATCACAATGTACATCACTGAAGCCACTACATTCTTAATGGAGGAGTCAGTAACCGCAGAACTCATGTAGACTCCAAAACCTGTCCCGTAGAACAAGGACACAACTGAGAGGTGAGACCCACAGGTGGAAAACGCTTTGTACCTTCCACCCACTGATGGGATCTTCAGGATAGAGGATACAATTTGGATATAAGAAAAAATAATCCCAAAAAGAGGTACACCAAAAAATATGATACCCGCTAAGTATACCAGCAGGTTGTTGATGAAGGTATCAGAACAAGAGAGCTTGATGACCTGCGCAAGTTCACAGAAGAAGTGAGGGATGTCCAGGTCTGTGCAGAAGGACAGCCGCAGTGCCGTCAGAGTGTGGATCAGGGTGTGCACAGTGCTGATGAGCAGAGAGAGTAGAACCAGCAGGACACAGAGTCCAGGGTGCACGACGATCGTGTACCTCAGTGGGTGACAAATGGCCACATAGCGATCACAGGCCATCACTGCGAGGAGACAGTTTTCCAAGGCACTACAAAGCAGAGCAAAATATGCCTGGAAGAGGCAGCCTATGTAGGTGATGCTCGGATCCTTTGCTTGAGTGTTCACCAGCATCTTTGGAAGTACAGTTGTGCTTACAGAAATGTCAGTGAAGGACAGGTTGGAGAGGAAGAAGTACATGGGGGTGTGGAGGTGGGAGTCAGAGCTGATGGCCAGGATGATGAGCACGTTTCCCAGGATGGTGACCAGATACACGGACAGGAACAGGCTGAAGATGAGGGGCTGCAGTTCTGGGTCATCTGTCAGTCCCAAAAGATGGAATTCTAAAAGAGTTGTTTGGTTAGTGGGTTTCATGTTACTGGCTAATCTCACAGGAAAGACGGTGTGAAAATAAAATAAAATGACTTGTTTTGAGACAAGCAGCAGGAGTATGACATGGTGACTTCTTAGGAAGATCCTTGTTACATTTATAGTCTTACTGATGACAAGATATAAGAATGAGGACCCATGCTTCAGGTGGGTTTTATATATCTAAAGACGGAGAGCCAGGGTTTTTCAAAAACAAAAGGAAAATGGTCTTCTCGTGTACACTACGGAACCAAAAGTTTATTCAGATATTTTGTCACTGATCCCTTCCACTCCTCTCCTCTCTTCTCCTTTAACTTCCATGCCCTTTATTGGAAACCAACTCCTTTTCACATATTGTGGTGAGTGCTGAGACTGTTAAGAAATAAGACATACAATTTCCATAAGAAATAGCCCGTGGCTCAGAGAACAAGATCCCAATGATGAATGTAACTGTGCTCTATGCCTAAAAAGTACCAATAAACTCAATGAGGGGGGAAAAAAAAGAAACAGTCCGTGCCTTCAATAGAAATAAAGAGGAGGATGAATTTATGAAATATGTCTTCTAAAGCCACAGTCTGCAGTGATGGCATCTGAAGGACTTCAGGTCATCTGAAGGGTTTATCAAATTACTGCCAAGGTGCTTAATGCTCTGCCCCCACCCCCGCCCCCGATGTGAAGGTCACAAGGACAAGCAATGAGCGTAAAGTACACTGTTCGTGTTTGGCACACACGGAATCAGAAGTTAAGATGGTCTAGCTGTTGGGTTGATTCTCATGACCAACTTCTGCCAATGTCTGTGGGCAGCATAACGTCAGTCTTGCTAAAGTACCCCATAGGTCTTTGAAATTCCCAGTATAGTTTTAATCATGAACAAAGGTTTTCTTTTTGTTTCCCTTTCTTTCTAGGGACACCCACTTCTACCACTTCTGCAGTTAAGCATGGAGGGAGGGGAGATGCATCCAGCTAGACTTGAAAATAATTAGAAAATGCGTCCTTTCACTTCGAGCCCATTAAGACCTCTCCCTGGAAATGCAAGAAATCTGCTTTCGCAGTAAATTCCAGAAGAAATGGGTAACGGTGTTTAAAACACTTTGTCTTAGCCTAAGGGAATGTCTTTCCCTAGTGAGAGAGGTAGCGAATCATTACACAGAATAAACGAGTACTAGCAATAGGAGGGAAAGAATGAAATACAGAGGCCCCTGTGTAGAGAGGTTGAAATAAAAACCAATTTGTTGTTTTTCAGAGAGCAGAGGGGTCAAGATGCCACCAATCTAGGTAACCAGGTTTCCTAATGTTGTGGAAGGAATTTGCAAGTGACCCACAGAGAGGCAGCAGAAAGGAAGTAAAATAACAAATTTACTCATCAACGAGGGTTGATTGCACATAAGCCGTGCCTGGATCGAGGACCCACTGGGCTACAACTCCTGCTTTTATAAGGTTTTACAGCCTTGACTTCATTTGGGTGGTTACATTTCATTCTCACAGTCCACATCATGGTCCCAAGATCGTTAACTTTAACCCAGATGTAACAGTTTTTTGCAGTTGGGGAGTTTACCTTAAGATTCTTCTAGCTATCTGTTCTAGTGCACAGGAAGGGGGTGTTCAAGGCCAGGGATGAGGCCAGATGTCCCATTTCACGGTCAATGCCTCCAGTGTCTGTTAATGTTGAACTAAACAAAGCAGACTTAAATTAGAGACAGAACTCATATTTTCCTAACATTGCGTAGGTTTTTAGATTATTTACAAAAGGTCTCTGCATCACGAATACGAGGGTCCCTGGAGAGCAGAGGTCTTCCTCTCTTGGGGAAGACAGAAGCACTACGATGATGATTATTTGCTGTAATATCAGATTCACACACTCTGAATTTAATCCAGGATCTGGCATTTGCTTTCTGAATGAGGGAAAGCCTTCAACTATACCAGAAGCCAGGGTATTCTCTTAATGAAGCTGCTTGATGAATGTGTCCTTTAGCTGTAGTTTGATGATCATTTATCCGTTTAGAATTCGCCACATATTGTGTATCTTAAATATACAGTTTTTCTTTGTGTAATTATGCCTCGGTAAATTGGGGAGGAGACTGCATGTGGATGTTTTGATTCATGAGAAACAAATACAACAAAGCAACCAGCACAGTGCTGGCAACTGGAACCCTGGTACTGATCTGTCCTTTTGCGTGCATGATAATAGCAAGTGCTCCTATTCACCCCTTGGGAGGAATAGACATCTGGAGCATAAGAAGTGCACACTTCAGGGAAGCGTTCATGCACTAAACCTACCACTGGGAATACTGGTTTGCAGAAAAGTACAGAAAGGTGCATCCGTGATACCGATATTCCTCAACATCTAACACTGAAAATGAATTAAATGGCAAGAGCATCAGACACAGGAATCACAAAACTATGACTGCCTAAACTAGGAAAAATGCATACGTAAATAACATTCCCTGAGGAAACTGGAAATATTTTAACCTTCCCAGAGAAGTGTATTTTATTACAGATTATTCAGGCACGATGGAAAGTAAAACCGTGCCGGTCAGCATGCATCACTCACCAGTTAAAAACGCATCTACTTCATGGAGGGGTAGGGGAATTAAAAAGAGCCCAGCTGTGTTATGCACATGTACTCGTCACTCCCCAAGATGACTGTAAACTGTGTGTACTGCAAATGTATACTAATAAAAAATAAAATAAGTGCTATCATACGATAAAAACCCATATACTTCACCATTTTTTTGCCTTTAGACATCTTTAGTACACAAATATTAGAAGTATATTTGAAGCCTCCATTTTATATTCTTGCACAGAACTGATTTTTTTTCTTTCCCCAGGGAAACTACCGCACTGACATGACATACATTATTCTGCTAACTTTTCATCAAGTTGGTATTATTCTTTCAAATAAGAAAGACTGCATAATGTTGTGTGTGGTAAGCTTTACATAAATGGAGTCTTACAGCATATGCCATTCATAAAGGATGGTCTTTGGTGATTTTTTAAAAATAGCTCGGGCATATTTAGTCATTCTTCATAAATTTTTGCTACTAGAGTATCCCGTTGTCTTGCTACATTACAATTTAGAGTCCCCAAGTGATAAGTATGCCTTTTAACACATAGGTAGATGACAGCAGATAGACATATAGGTGCTAAATAGACAATAGATAGATAGACAGACAGACAGAATAATAGCCCAATAGAAAGCTAGGTGGATAAATGTGACCATATTTACAATACAGAGGCATGCATTTGGGGAACCCCATTATATTCCTGATGTCATATTTGGAGAAAAGAAGAGGAATGCAGGAGAATATAGTTTATAAATTGTGTATACTTATTACTTTATTTTTAAAGACCTGAAACAATCGTATAATGTCCCAGGTTTTAATTCTGGAATGAGGTGAGGGGTATTTCTATAACTCTAGTCTCTGTTGTTCCTATACAAACTTTTGGGGAGTTTTAGGAAGCAGAAAAGGGGGAGGCAGAACCTCTGCATCTCCTCCTCTCTAGCCAGAGCCCTTGAATCACCTACCAGCATAGAACAAAAGCTTTCTGTACAATGCTGGATCAAAACCACCAAGATGAATCAAGGAGCTGATTGCTAAGAACCAACTTCTGTACCCTCTAAAATTTGTGTGTTGAAATCTTTTTCCCTAATTCCCTAAGTTTATGATGGTATTTAGAGATAATTCTTTGAAAAAGTATTAAGTTAGAATATGCTCAGTAGGGTGAAACCTAACCTGATAGGACTGGTATCTTTACAAGAAGATATTATCACACACACACACACACACACACACACACACACACACACACTCATATACACACACATACACTTTGAAGACACAAGGAGAAGATGGTCAGCTAGCTATAAGCCAAGGAGAAAAACCAACCCTACCAACATATTGATCTTCAAATTTCTATATTCTGCAACTATGGGGTAAAAAAATTTTCTGTTGCTAAGTTACCTGGTCTGTGGTCTTTTGTGTCAGCAGTCCTAGCAATGAGAATTCACAAAGTGAAACAGCTTCCCCGCCACCCTCCCCAAGTACTCCAGTAAATTTCAAGGTCTTTGACAAGTCATCAGGTCTGAGAAGGAGCACAATTCTGCTCAGGATAAAAGGGGGCTCATCCTCGAGGAAAGTAAAAGGAGAGTAGGAAGAGAGTGTGAGAACATTGGTGCAATGAAACATGAGCCTGTGCACCGTAACAGACTGGCAAGGGTCACCTGGAGATTTTAATTTGTTTCTTATCATCTTATGCATACAATGACATCACTGCTTGCCCTGGATGAAATCTGAGCAGAATTTACCTGGCCTCATGTCCAAATCATCACCTAGGAGAATGGCTTCACCAAGAATGATGTTCGGCACCTCCAAGATGTGGAAGGCAGAAGATCAGTTCTCAGCACTGGTAGACAAATCAATTGAGGAAGGAGGGTCTCCCCCGGGAAGGTCACCCTGAAAGGGGATTCAGGTTTTGCTTCCTGACTGAGACCGCACTGCAGAGTGACTTCATCACAGGCTGACTCCTAGACTCCTAGCCCCTGAGGGGCTCAATCTCCAAAGCTCCTCATTAGAGTAGCTATTTTTATGTTGTTATTGTCCCAGGAGTGTGTGTCCTTAAAGACTGAGGGCACACAAGAGAATTCAGGATGGCTGATCTCTTGACCTCCAATGCCATGTGTACCTCCTCCAGTTCTGCCCACACACCATGCTCTGCTCACTTCTCAGATCTTGCACACATAACCTCTGCTGCTGTTCCATTTTTGCCATAAACCAAATCAGGCCCATCTATTTCACAACACTACAAAGCCTGATTCAAGGGTAGGTGTGAAAATATATATGGGTATGGATCATATAATTTCTATGAATGAAACTCATAATTTTATTTAAATTGTATATACTTTGAGTGGTCATGAACTATATCTTTTAGTTTTTTAAGGCACTGAAAAACTTAACTGTGATTCAGAGCTCATAGGGCCATACAAAAAGGGGCAACGGGCCAGATATAGCCCAAAACACAACACAATTTGTCAACCCTAGTCTGAAAGAACATTAAAAGGTACACTTCACTGAAGTTGTAGGATTCATCTTTGGTTCAAGCATGAGCACAAGTCTCCACAGTTGGTTAACTTTCCGTCAAAACACCTTGTTAAACATAGTAGAA